GAGACCTTCTAACTCCTATAGTAGCTTCATAGTTATCTACTAAAGCAATAAATATTATTTCTGCAAAGATACTGATTTTCCCATTAAGTGAAAGGTGCAATGCAATTCCAATTACCATCACAAAGCGATTTGAAGGAAACCTGATAAAGTCTTCTACAGTTTATAACAGAACAGCATATATCATATCCATTTATATGGAGGATCAGGCAGTGAGGGAAGGCGGCAGCAGGCAGGAAGATGGAGGAATAGAGTCCAGAGAACCAAACCCCCAACTCTTAACACTGATCATCCCAAAGTGTGGGATAAAAGTTCTCACGGGGAGAACTTTTCCTCTCCCTATATAAGGAAGACATCACCAGAATAAGCATATTTTAAGATAAAAATTCACCTATAAAAATAAAACAGTAAAAATAACCAAAGAAATAGTGATAAAGAATAATGAAGACAATATCTGGCAACACAGGAAAAAAATACATGTATAAAGCAAGACCATGGTAAAGATCCTAGGCTCTGGAGCCAGACCACCCACATTCAAATCCCAGTCCTGTAACTAACATAACTGTGCAGGCTTGGAAAACTCATTTGCCTTTACATGCCTCATTTTCCTAATTCATAAAAGGAGGATAATAATAGTACCTACACCTCACAGAGTTGTGCACAGTACATGAGATATTCTGTGTAAAATACTCAGACCGATGTCTAGTATACCTAAGTGCTCAATACGTGTTATCTGTTAAAATATAATTGCTACCATAGCCAAAATACAAAAGAAACTTGTGTAACCGACTGATGTTTCCCAAAACGCTAATTAAATCAATAACAAATTTCATTTCCCAACTGTCAACCTGGCCACATTATTATTTATACTAAATGAAACTACCGCAAACTGCCAAGAATGCAGTGAAATGGGCTCTTTCAAGCAATAGTGTTTGGGGGTGTAACGTACAACTTTTGGCAACAGGTATCAAGGAGTTTAGAAGTTTCCATACTCTTTATCCAAGTAATATTATTTTCATCATAAGCTATACCAAGATGAGTATAAGGAGTTATTTATAAAAGAAAAAACTGGAAACAGTCCAATGCCTCAATAAAAGAGAGCAAACAATTTTATCTTGGCAGCAATTAAGTAATATCTTTTTTTTTTAACATCTTTATTGGAGTATAATTGCTTGACAACGGTGTGTTTGTTTCTGCTTTATAACAAAGTGAATCAGCTCTACGTAAACATATATCCCCATATCCCCTCCCTCTTGCATCTCCCTCCCACCCTCCCTACCCCACCCCTCTAGGTGGTCACAGAGCACCGAGCTGATCTCCCTGTGCTCTGCGGCTGCTTCCCACTAGCTATCTATTTTACATTTGGCAGTGTATATAAGTCCATGACGCTCTCTCACTTCATCCCAGCTTATCTTTTAAAGTATGTTCTAAAAACAGAAAATGCTCATCTTAAGATTAAAAAATAAAAATAATCATATTAAACAGGTTAGTTCTAATTACCTGCTAAGTCCAGCAAAACCTCTGGCATATGGCAGATGTTCAATAAATATTTGCTGACTGTATGAATAAATATTATTCTTCTCATATATTTGGGTCCTGTAGCCTAGCTCTCTTTTAAAATATATGTATTTAGAAATATTAACAAAAAAAGGATTTTTTTTTTAATGTTTCGAAGTTCCAGATGCTTGCTACCCCTAGAATATGGGCAACCCCAAATTCTAATCAGGGATTGCACCAATGTTTGCAACAGAGGTTTTACCTATATCCATTTAGCTCTAAGAGTTCTCTAGCCAGATTTGGTAATGAATTCAGTTGATTTTTATCCTTAAGTACCATTTCAGAGACAGTACCTCTATTAAAAGTAGTAACTCTCACATTGATAAGTAGCTTAATTAAAGAAACTAATATTTAAAGGAACTTTCCATCCTTTAGTAAATCCTAAAGATGTGACTAGCTGACATCTATCTCAAAAGTTTGATTTTAAAATATTAGATTGTTTTTGTCCTATACCTACTTTTCTTCTTGTACAATAACTAACTCACACCCTAAGAGAATTCTGAATGTATTCTGAGAAACCAAATGTTGGTTACCATGTAAAAATGATTTTCCAAGGATTCTTAAACTATGACACCAATAACTAACGTTTATTGAATGCCATAATAATAAACATTTTACATGAATCTCCTTTAATCAATTAATGGACAAATTCTCAGCTATATCCTTAACTCAGTGGCTGGCTAGACACTTCTCTGGTTTAGCCACTGATTTTTAAACTGTGTTCAACCGGCACTAAGGGCCATGGCTCCCGAACCTGGCTGGAAATCAGAATCAGCTAGGGTTGCTTTCAAAATCACAAATTCTCAAAGCCTACTAAGGTCTACTGAATTTGGATCTCTAAATTTTTTTTTAATGCAAGCTTAATATGATGGTAATACAATCATGATGATAACATAACCCAAACATCCAATGGCGTTTGGGAACTGCTGCCCTAAAAAAGTTCCATGGTGACCTTAGAGACCACCCAGAGTGCAACCCCACATGCTGCCCCAAAATGTTCACCAACCAAAGCAGCCCCACTTTTGTCTGTTTTATATAATGCGGGGTCCAAGTAAGATTTGGGCTTGGAGAAGGAGTAAAATGAGTTCTGCTACTTTCTCTTTTAAACCAGTTTACTACCAGATATCATCCGCTATAGCTTTAGATCAGTAAACAGCGCTTCTGATTGACTTTTTTTTTTTTTTTTTTTTTTGCGGTACGCGGGCCTCTCACTGTTGTGGCCTCTCCCGTTGCGGAGCAGAGGCTCCGGACGCGCAGGCTCAGCGGCCGTGGCTCACTGGCCCAGCCGCTCCGCGGCATGTGGGATCCTCCCGGACCGGGGCACGAACCCGTGTCCCCTGCATCGGCAGGCGGACTCTCAACCACTGCGCCACCAGGGAAGCCCTGATTGACTTTTAATCACTCCTTGTTTGTCTCCCTTCTCCATGATAAAAAAAAAGGAACACAGGGGGCTTCCCTGGTGGCGCAGTGGTTGAGAGTCCGCCTGCCGATGCAGGGGTCACGGGTTCGTGCCCCGGTCCGGGAGGATCCCACATGCCGCAGAGCAGCTGGGCCCATGAGCCATGGCCGCTGGGCCTGTGCGTCCGGAGCCTGTGCTCCGCAACGGGAGAGGCCACAACAGTGAGAGGCCCGCATACCGCCAAAAAAAAAAAAAAAAAAAAATTAAAAATGTGAAAAGCAGGTCTTAAAGAGATATACCTTCTTTCCCATTTTCATTGCAATATTATTCACAATAGCCAAGATATGAAAATAACCTAAGTATCCACCAAGAAATGAATAAACAGGTGAATAACGAAGATGTGGTATGTATATATATGTATATATAGATATATATACACAATGGAGTATTATTCAGCCATGAGAAAGAAGGAAATCCTGTCATTTGTGACAACATAGATAGAATTTGAGGGCACTATGCCAGGTGGAATAAGTCAGACAGAAAGACAGATACTGTATGATATCACTTATATGTGGAATCTAAAAAGCTCATAGAAACCGAGACTAGAATGGTGGTTACCAGGGGCTTAAGGGGTGGGGAAAATGGGGAGGTACTGGTCAAAGGGTACAAACTGCCAGTTATAAGACAAATAAGTTCTGAGGCTCTAATGCACAACATGGTAATTATAGTTAAAAAAACTGTATTACATACTTGAAAATTGCTACAACAACAGATCTTAAATGTTCTCACCACAAAAAAGAAATGGTAATTATGAGAAGTGAAAGAGATGTCAGCTAACACTACAGCAGTAACCACTTTGCAATATATAAGTGCATCAAATCAACAAGTTGTACACCTTAAACTTACATAATGTCATGTCAAATTATATCTCAATAAATCTGGAAAAAAAACTAAAGTGTACATACACGTGTGTGCATGTGTGTATATATATACATGCACTCCTCATTATTCTAATTATATGTGTGTGTTTGTATATATAATACATACACTCCTAATTATTCTAAAACATTTTCTTCACTATGAAAAAGTTAATAGGACTTCTATATTAATATCTATAGATGTACATATATGTGCATATATGTGTGTATATATATATGTACACATTGCATGTATATATATACATATATGCATGTACTATATATACATACATGCATATATATACATGCACTCCTAATTATTCTAAAACATTTTCTTCATTATGAAAAAGTTAATAAGAGTTCTATATTAATCTGTTAAAATAGTTATTTCAATTATAACATTTGCTGAATGAATAAATAATATAGCAAAGCTATAAAAAATGGATTACAAAAGAGAAAGAAAAAGTTTAATGCTATTGAGGAAGCAACTTTATGCTTTAATACTAATAAATATTTTTAAATGTAGGAATATGAAATTTGAAGCTAAGCTTTGTTGTAAGAATACAACAACCTTAAGGGTGTATAAAATTACAAAAAGTATTAGCAAGGATTAAGAGAAAAAGAAAACTATCAAAGGAACAAAATGCAGAGTGAATCAAGGAGACTTGGTAATTTTTAGATTACAAACTGATAGTACATCTGTTAATTTTATAAGTGTCCAACACCATTAAAGACAAGGTGGCAGGCAGCAAACATACCAAAAAGCACAATATTATTAAGAAAAAATACTTCCAGATTTAAATGTGGTATAGATTCATGTCAAACTAACAAAACTCTGAAACCAAAAATTAAGCAGAATGAGAGTTAAAATTGTAGTAAACAGCTAAGAATACTAGCAAAACAAAAACTATATGATATATGAAACATGCTTATTTTGCTGCTCAAGTCACTCCCAGGAGTACAAACCTTCTCTAACAACAAAGCAATATTCTTCAAGCATTCGGGTTATTAGTGTAACTTTTTTAAGAAATCTAACTTACCGCGTACCATCTGCTTTCCAGCTTACTTTATATGGCTTCTGCTCCAAAAGTTTAATATTTTGCTTGTCCATGGAAATAGGCTGTGCTCCAGGGAATCCAGATCTTAAAAAAGAACACTGTATTACTATTACGGGTGGTGTCCATACAAAGCAATACATGTCTTAGACCAAGCTCACCTGAGTCACACATTTAGCACAATGTTTTCCCTATCATGAGATTAATGTCAACTGGAATAATATCAGCTTTCACAAAAATGCTACCAAAACGTTATCATTTTCTTGACATTTTAGAACTCAAGTTAACAGGATCATAACTGCCACTGCAAACTATGACTATCGGGCTAATTTTTAAATATTAATACACATGATCTAAACAGTAAAGCACATACTGTTTACAAGTCTTTGTATATCTACAAGTCTTTTACTTCAGGAAGAAGTTTAAATCTTGCCTTGACTATCTTACATTGCTCTAGACCCCATATTCCTCCATCATGACACTGCCAGCTTGGCATAACTTTGCAGGGTTGGCAAGTTTCTCCTCAAAAGATGCCCAGAAGTGACAAAACAGGAGAAATTCAGGTCGAGATTAAAGTACACTGGCAAGGGTTTAACAGAATACTAAAACTGATAGCACTTCATCATTTACATTTTTTAGTTAAAACTATTTCTAGTTTATTGATCTGCATGTATACCAGTCCAAAAGTTCTTTATATTAGGAATTTTTAACAATAATCCTATTTCATCATATTCCAGCTGTATTACAATTTTCTGCCACAGATAGCAATGATCAACAGAAATGACCAGAGACCAAGACCTGAGAGCAACAAGCAGTGAACTCTCTCTTGAGTCCTCTCCCATGAAATGTCTGATAAATATATTCAAGTCATGGTAAGGGGCAGAACATATTTAAAGCTGATTCTCCCAGGTTTCTGATGACAGAAAAACTGGAAAATGAGGCACATTCAAGTTTCACCTCTTCTCTCTTAATAAAATGATGAGGGCAACTAAAACATTAATCAGCAACAGTGGGACTTCCCTTGTGGCGCGGTGGTTAAGAATCTGCCTGCCAACGCAGTGGACACGGGTTCGAGCCCTGATCCCACATGCCGTGGAGCAACTAAGCCCGTGCACCACAGCTACTAAGCCTGCGCTCTAGAGCCCACAAGCCACAACTACTGAGCCTGCATGCCACAACTTCTGAAGCCTGTGCTCCGCAACAAGAGAAGCCACCGCAATGAGAAGCCCGCATACCACAACAAAGAGCCCCCACTCGCTGCAAGTAGAGAGAGCCTGCGCACAGCAACAAAGACCCAATGTAGCCAAAAAATAATAATAATATATTTTTTTAAATAATAATAAAAAAATCAGCAACAGTAGAATCAACCTCACAAAACAAATATCAGAAAGTGACAACAGTAATTTTCTATTCCATTAGGAAGACATGTGAGTCATCTAATTTTGACTCAAAAGTCTGGTTATTACACTGTTTATCTTGAGAAAAATCTGATAAACTCTTGCTTAACATGTTTTTAAGAACTCTGTGTAAACACAGAAACTTCAAGGAGCAAAGAGGCTATGACACTGTTTGCATTAATGTTAAGTATTGCAGAATTAGAATAAATTTTATTTAACACTTTAATTAACATTGAAAATGTTTATTACCCTTCCCAGCCACAGAATTGATGACACTTCTGTTGTACCTCTCCTAACTTTGGTTGAGTTGTTACTTGAGTTACACCTTTAACAGTTATGCCTTCCAAAAAAATAGCACCCTGAAAATAAAAGGAAAAGAAAAATACATTAGAGTTCAAATCCATTTACAAAGACCAGACTGAAAGACACATTTATTTTCAGAAATCTGAGCAAATATATGCAACAAATGGTCAACTACAGGAGGTTCTACAAACTCCCCTGGGATTGTACACTAGTTTTCCTTAATCCAGCATATGATTTTCAGTGTACATATACAGGCCAGTGTCTATATCATGTTGTCAAAGCATCCATGGGTACTACTCAGTAATCATAACAGCAATAATACCTTACCTACCATTTACTCAGAGCCAGGCAAAGTATCTGGCATTTTACAGTTTCTCTAATCCTTATAACAATTCTGAAAAGTACATGCATTATATTTATTTCACAAATGACTAAATGAGGCATAAAGATTTTATGTAATTTATTCAAGTGGTAAAAACAGAATTTGAACTCAGGTCTATACTATACCATTCACCAATGATTCTCCATTCACCAATGAGTCTCATTTGGGGAAGGGGGTGAGAAGTTGTGTCACTGATAGAGTTTGGATTTTGAGATAAAAACCTACAATATGTACCTTTGTAAACTAGAATAAGAGTATAACAGTAGACAAAGCAGCTAAGCTGCAGTCATTGGATGTATCAACATAAAAACTAAATACTACTCATCACTGAATTTTTAATCTAAATTCTTTAACTTGGAACTACATAAAATGTCTTATTGTATTTCACCCATTTCACAGGAAGTATATTTTTAGAATATCAGAGAGAAGTGAAGCAGATGGAGAACTTATATATCAAATAATAAAGAACACCCCTGGAAATTTTAAAGACTAAAAAAATAGTCTTGATTCATTTACAATTACTTTGAGACCCATAAGAGGGTTGGCATCAGTCTCAAGAAATATCTATGAAACAACCCTAGCTGTTAATGTAATTCGGGAATAAAAAATAGGGTCTGCAAGCTACAATGATCAACATTCTGGCAAAGATTTGGCAACCTGAACTAGTTGGGAAGGAAAAAAAAAAAAAAGAACACAATACTTAGTCCACATACATCCCTGTCAAATTTACAAGAGTCCTAAAGTCAATCCAGCAGACTATTTTTTGCCCCTAATTCTGAATCATATTTTACAGTTACCTAAAATGTCATCTACCTGTTTTCCTTAAAGAGAGGTTCCAGGAGCCAAAGGATCAAAGAATACCATTCCTCTCCTATTACACCATAACCTCTCTTTATCAGCCAATGAAATTCCTGTTTTAGAACCATTTCTACCATTAAATATAATAACTAAAGAAAGAAAATTTTCAAAGGAAAGCTTAACCAGGTGGATAAGTTTTTTTAACATATTTAGTAATTGAGATACTCATAACTTCAATATCCTGATAAAATTACATCTTGTATATACTAATTAAAAAAAGAAAGCATTATCTTTATTCTGAAGGTACTAATAGCACAGAATTTTTTTTAAGTTTTACCAATAACCTTCCCTGTAAACTCAACCTTTTTCATGAACACCCTGTACCCCACGTCTTAACTAGAAGCTAGCCCTGCACCAAGAAGACCACTCAATTTTCTCTTAAGTGAAAGCTACTCATTCTCCCACTGCCCAAGTCCCATGGTAGTAGTGTAAACAATTCTCTTATATCCTCACTGCTTTCCCGGCCTCTTTCAAAAGTTCCTCTTCCATTCAGACTCATTCAGCTACATCACTCAGCTAGATGTCAGGTAGAGCAAACATCCACTGTGGTTGGTTGCACAACGGCTCTCTTTGTGGATAGGATGCCTTCCCCACCCACAAGCCATGTTACATGACATGAAAGATAACATGCCACTCCAGCCAAAGTTGATGGGAGCATGAGTGAACCCCTAACTCTATCTGAACCTATCAGGTTCTCTCTTCTGGTAACCTGGAATTTGGACTCAGAAAGTCTCCGCATGTGGTGAAAATTATAACACATAAGCTTAGACATAGGACATTAAATATCCCTCGTAAACAAAGAATCAGAAGTCTCCCAGGTAAACAAGGAATCAGCTATATTCCTGCGCTTGAGCTGCACCCATTTACGTATAGTAAATTCCTCTTATTACTTAAGCTAGTTTGAGTTAGTTTCTGTTACTTGCAACCAGATAATCTAAATTAATAAAATGCTCTATCCTTCATATATTGACCTCTAGTCACTTCCGCACATTCATCAAAACCATCAATATTTCTCACCATGCTAACTTCTGGCATTATATTGGTAACATTAACATCCATTGAGACAATCTGACCCATCAAACAACCTAAGCTTCACAGTTCTGTAATTTCTTTTTTTTTTTTTTTTTGCGGTACGCAGGCCTCCCTCTGTTGTGGCCTCTCCCGTTGCGGAGCACAGGCTCCGGACGCGCAGGCTCAGCGGCCATGGCTCACGGGCCCAGCCGTTCCACGGCATGTGGGATCCTCCCGGACCGGGGCACCAACCCACGTCCCCTGCACTGGCCACCACTGCACCACCAGGGAAGCCCTGTAATTTCTTTTTTAATGATCCTCTCATCTGTGCTTAACTTGAACAGCCTGCTCCATGGCCATATCATCCTCATTCCAGACTGCTCCACCTTTTGATTCATCAACTCAACTTACATTGATGGGGTACCCACAACATTCTAAACCAATATGCTCCTCTGACCTCTTTCATTAAACAGCTTAACTCTTTTACTCTCACTAAGCTCACTTTTCAATTTCACCAAGACTAACAATCCTTCACTCCTCCCTTTCCAGTCTAACAGCTCCCCCATCCTGACCTTACTTCCTATTCAACCTAGATCCTATCACTGATTACTTCAATTACCCTTCACCTGATATCCTCCAGTACTCTTTACCCTCTGATCCTTCCATCACACCCATACTAAATATAGCCGACCTTGTATCAACCCACCATTAATCTCCACTTCCACACACAGGCATCTGAAATTTACTGAGGAAAAATCACAATCTCAGGGCTAAGGATGAGATTTCCCTCCTCTTGCTGAAGACCTATTTCTCTATCTGCTCTTGAACTTCATTCCCTTTAATCTCCTCAGAAATTGCTCTATCATTAATTCCTCTATCATTTCATTTATTTTCAACTTCATTGATTCCACTAGCTCCTTATCCTCAAGTAATAGATATGCTTGAGTTTATTCCATACTAAAAAGCCTTTTCTGAATATGTCTGCATCAAGCAATCACCCTTAGTTACCCTTTTTGCTCATAACCAAACTACCTGAATAGTCTGTACCAGTGTGCAGGTAAGAGTTAACATAGTAGGACTGCTTGCAAGGTTGGCCCCTGGACGGCATCTGGGAACATGACTCCCAGTGTTCTCAGTCAGCTGATAAGGCTGGTTCATCACGCCTAAACTATCTGTACAGACAACAGTTTACGCTGAACAAATGTTTTCCTTCTGGGATTCTGGAATATTGATACATGCTAGGCACAAGCTGCCTACATGACCAACCATGAATAAAAACCTTGGGCACTGAGACTCTAACGAGCTTCCCGAGACAGAAACATTACACATGCGCTGATGCATTTCCATTGCGGTGGTAAGAGTGAGCTCTGTACGACCCCTCATGGGAAGGAGAGAGCATAAGGAAGCCTGCACGTGGACTCTTCGAAACTCCACTTGTCTTTTTTACTTATGATCCAGCAGGATATCCTTAGTATACCGCTGCGTTAAATCTTAGCTGTGAATACAACTATATGCTGAATCCTAGAGAATCTCCAAAAGCAGAGGTGGTACTGAGGACCCCTAACACAACTGTCTCCTTTTTCTCACCTCCCATCAGCTACTTAAAATCACTAGTCTGACCTGGCCCTGCTGTACCACAGAAAAATTATCCTCAGATGGACACTTCATATCCTTACTGTATTCGTCCCCTCTATGACTTTTCATACTATTAAATCATCCATATAGATCACTATAAAACTCTAAACTATTTTTCATATTTCTTTGTCTTTTTGTGCTACATCCAGGAAGAATTTCTTAGCTAGATCTTCCAGCTTGATAATTTCCTCCACAGCTAACTTCAGTCTGCTCTCCAACCCACCTACTGACATTTTTCTTTATTATTATCATTTCTAAGGTCTCTAACTGGTTCTTCTTCATAATAGCTTGCCATTATTTTATGGATTAATATCCTCTCTTGTCTTCTAAAGAAATGTTCTGTTTGCTTTTTATAAACTATTCTCTTCGGTGCTAGCTAAAAAGAATGAGGTAGTTCTGTATGTACTAGGAAAAGAGAAAACTTCACTTCTTACCCTATATACTGCTAGATGTTCACATTTTTATTTTACAAAGAAAATTGATCTGTATGTCACTTGTGCACACTTTTAAAGAGACAGATAGGTAAGTAATTGCAGAGAAATTCTTTTAAGATAACAAAAATGCCAGTGGTAGGGTAAAAGTTGAAGGATTATTTGTTTTCAAATTTTCTTTAATGTCAGTATATTATTTTTATAAATAAAAACATATTTAATAATTTTAGTATTTACTAGTTATGATTTGAAAAGAGGAGAAGCCTACCAAAATGCATAAGGTTTCAGAATTTTCTTTTTTCATAACTCTACCTTTGGAAGTATAAGCTCAAATATTCTTGAAAATTACCATTGCATTGTCAGTCAGAAATCAAATCTAACTGCTTTCTCCAAAAACAAAGAAGGTAAGCATTCTGCTTTTGGCAATGGCAGACTAGTTTATTTAGACAAATTTTGCAGCCATGAGAAATGCCAGACAAAAATGTTAAAAGCACCTGTTTTAAGATATCAGAGAACTAGAAAGGCAGTAAGGACCTGCAGGGCCAAGAACTCAGAAGGAAGGGAAGCCCTGAGAGATGAGACAGATATGTGGCATAGCTTTTCTTCTCTAGGATTTTCCTCTAAAGGTACTGTTTCCAAAATGGTAGCTGAGAGGCTACAAAACTGAACAGAACTTTCAGCATTTATCACAAGAACGGGAAAACAAACATTGGAGTACCAGGTCACCAAGGAGAGGGGTCCTGCTTAATGCTTCAGGATTTCAGTTAGAATTCCCAAGGGACCACACTCCAAAATTGGGGTGAATCAAAAACAGACCAGCCCCCCAAAACTAAAGCCTAGCTTCTAAACAGTTCAATTCTTGACTGAGTTAAGATGTTCTATTCCTAATCCTGTGTAGGAGCAAAGGTAAATCTTCTCTGAAGGAAGAAAACAGCATGCAGAACCTCAAATTACTTCCACAATTTTTCATACATAATGTCTAGTAAGCAGAAATACCAAGGTATTTTAAAAAAAAAAAAAACCTACAGTTGACTAGAAATCAAATGAATACAAGAAGAAAAACTAAAAAAAAGGATCCAGAGGGTATCCACATACTAGAGTTATCTGACATAGGCTTTAAAATAGGCTTAATAGGGAGTCCCTGGCAGTCCGGTGGTTAGGACTTGGCGTTTTCACTGCCATGGCCCAGGTTCAATCTCTGGTCAGAGAACTAAGATCCCACAAGCCAAATGGCCAAAAGATTTAAAAATAAAACAAAATAAAATAAAATAGCCTTAATAAATTCAAAAACCTAAATGACAAGATGCAGAATTCCAGCAGAGAACTGAAAGTTACTTTAATACTCAAAATGAAATTCCAGAAGTGAAAGTAAAATAACTGAAATTAAGTACTCAGTGGATGAATTTAACAGCAGCTTAGACAAAGCTACAGAGAGAATTAATACACTGGAAGATAGGTCAGAAAAAAAATAACCAGACTGAAAAAATGAAACAAAAAAGTGGAGAATATAGAAAAGAACATATGAGACATTTTAAAAAATAATAATATTTAAAAGGTCTATTGAGTAGAAGGAGAAAGGAGAAAGAATGAATCTAAAACAATATTTGAAGAGATAATGGTCAAGAATTGTCTAAAACTGATTTAAAAATCCAATCATAGGGCTTCCCTGGTGGCGCAGTGGTTGAGAGTCCGCCTGCCGATGCAGGGGATACGGGTTCGTGCTCCGGTCTGGGAAGATCCCACATGCCGTGGAGCGGCTGGGGCCGTGAGCCATGGCCGCTGAGCCTGCTCGTCCGGAGCCTGTGCTCCACAATGGGAGAGGCCACAACAGTGAGAGGCCCACATACCGCAAAAAAAAAAAAAAAAAATCCAATCATAGATTCAAGAATCACTGTAAGTAGGAAGCAGGAAAAATACAAAGAAAACCACAGGTAGAAACATCATAGTAAAACTGTTGAAAATCAAAACCAAAAAGAAATTCTCTTCAAAAAAGTAACTTCTCAACAGAAATGAATTATGGGATAATATCTTCAACATACCAACCCAGAATTCTAGAATCTGGATTTTGAAGAACAACTGTTCTTAAAATCATGGGGTATATAAAGACATTTTCACACAAATGCTGAAAGAATGTGTCACAGCAGATCCACATTAAAGAAAATACTGAAGAGAGTGCTTCAGTTAGAAGGAAAACTATGCAAATGGAACCACAAAAATCCACAAAGAAAGGAAGAGCACCAGAAAGGATAAATATGTGGGTATAGCTAATGAATATTAACCATATGATGATGATGATGATGATGATGATGATGTCTTATGGGATTTAAAGTATAGAGAGAATTAAAATACACAATACTAAAAGGGCAGTAAGAGATGAATGGACTCAAAAGTTCTTGGATTCTTGCATTATCTAAAAAGTGGCAAAAGTACTAACATTTGCCAGACTTCAACAGTCAAAGATGCATACTGAAATATTGGGTAACCACTAAAAATACAGTTAAGGAATGTATAACAAGCATGGGTTGGGGTGACAGAAGGATAAAAATAATTAAGCATAAAGAAGGCAAGAGTACTTCCCTGGTGGTGCAGTGGTTAAGAATCTGCCTGCCAATGCAGGGGACATGGGTTCAATCCCTGGTCCAGGAAGATCCCACATGCCGCCGAGCAACTAAGCCTGTGAGCCGCAACTACTGAGCCTGCGCTCTAGAGCCCGCGAGCCACAACTACTGAAGCTCGTGCGCCTAGAGCCCGTGTTCCGCAACAAGAGAAGCCACCACAATAAGAGGCCTACGCACAGCAATGAAGACCCAATGACGAAGACCCAATGCAGCCAAAAATTAATTAATTTATTTATTTTTAAAGGCAAGAAAAGAAAATAAAAAGGACCATACCACAAGTGGGATAAACAAAATCAAACAAAAAAACAAATAGTGAGATAGTAAGTTTAAATTATATAAGTAAAATAAATGTACATAGACTAAATATTCCAATAAGGCAAAAACTGATGACTAGGTAAACAAAACCCAGCAACATGATGATTATAAGAGTCATACCTTAAATAAAGGATTAATAAAGGCTGAAAGTAAAAAGATAGATACAAGGTCTTCCATACAAACACTATCCAAAAGAACACCTGTACTACCATATAAATATCAGATATTTTACAATGCTAAAAGTTAAGACATTGCAAAGATAAAATAATCTTTTATACATATTTGTATAAACCAAATATCACCTCAAAATATATAAAGCAGGGGCTTCCCTGGTGGCGCAGTGGTTGAGAGTCCGCCTACCAATGCAAGGGACACGGGTTCGTGCCCCGGTCCGGGAAGATTGCACATGCCACGGAGCGGCTGGGCCCGTGAGCCATGGCCGCTGAGCCTGCGCGTCCAGAGCCTGTGCTCCGCAACGGGAGAGGCCAATAATCAAGGACTTAGGACATATATGGACTCAGGTAGATTGAAAGCGGGCCATACAAAAAAAAAAAAAAAAAAAAAAAGGAGATTATATATATATATATATATATATATAAGGCAAGATCTGACAGAACTACAAGGAGAAATAGGTAAATCCACAATCACAGTGGGGAATTTTTAAACACTCCTCTTAGTAACTGACAAAACAAACCAGGAGAAACTAGGTTTGGGATTTTATTTTATATGTCATTTATTCCCCTAAAGAAACATGCTCTTCTTAGCTAGTTTCCTCTTAATGATGCTGGAGCTCATTTGCAATTATAGGGATTTAATGGTGCTTAAGTTTATAAAATAAATTTCATTTTTAAGACAGTTTCTGATGCCAAAGAAAAATAAATGCCGCAAACTTGACCCTATTTTGTAAAAATAGTAACTGTTTGTTTTAAACTCTTTTACACATTCAAATACTAGATCATAATTCAAAAACACATTAAGCATATGCTCATGATTAATGTTATTATTAAAAAATACAGTTGAATTCCCTCACAGAAGTGATAAGAGGGTAATAATCTTCTATATGTCATATTATGCTATTAGACTTTCTTTAGAATGTGATTCTTATTTTTCTAGGTATGTGAGTCAGTAATTTCAGATACCTAAGTCCAGAAAATGAGTTAGAGTAAAAAACTAGTCCAGAAAATGAGTTAGAGTAAAAAACTAAGTTATTTTTGAAATTATTTCTATGTTTCAAAACAACTTACACTTTCAGTAGCCGCTGCGTCTTGAAGTTTGAAATGTGTAAATACATATTAAAACAATGTTTTTCAAACAAGAGACTTTTTTTAAGCCCTAAATAACTGTATTTTATTATTTACATAAAACAAGGCATTTTCTTCCTTGCCTGTCAATCAATGCCTACTAATAAATGAGTTGTGGGATTTACTGCTCAACCGTGATATCCCACACACCTTAATTATTACCTTTATGAACAATTAATTTCCGCCACACTTTCCCTGACTTTACCCTTTGGCCTACACCATCTACTTGTGTATGTACAAGTACAACCAGCAATCTCTTCTCAACATCTCTCCTGTCCTCCCGAGAAAAGAAGGTAATGCCTAATGTTTTTTCTTAGGCCTTTTATTTCTAGAAGATTAACAAGAGTTGGCTATAGAAGAAATAAGAATCTTCTGAGTTCAGCTTTAGAGAAAAATATGAAAACACCACCCATGGAAAGGAGCAGAATTTATATGCAAAGTTATTTTAATTATGGGACAATTTTGTAAAGCATCAGTAAAAATTTTCACTCCATATTTAGTTGGAATCTCACAATAGTTTGCAAAGAAACAATAAATTCTCAATCTAACATCTAAGAGTCCTTTGGTTTACCTAAGAAACAAAAACAGGATGAATTTATATAACTGAAACTTTTCTTGTAGAAAAGGCAAAGATCCATGGTTATCAAGAGTCTTTGGAAATAACCAGAATGAAATAATCTAACAAATCTAGCTAAACAAACATAGTTAACATTCCATTTGCATAAGTCTCAATGAAGCTGTAGAAGAAAAGGTAAAGACTATAATAGTATTTTTAAACATTACCAGTTTTAAACGTTCTTTTCTCCTTTTGCCAAAGGAGGCACTCGACCCAGGTTCTGATTCCTTTTTTCCATCCTCGTCCTCATCTTCCTCTTCATCATCCTCAAAACACCAATCTGGCAATAGAGGTGGGGGTGGTGCTTCCTCTATATCACCATAGCGACGAAAAAGTTCTTTCAAATAATCACCCTTATAAATTCCTGGTGGTCTGGCTTGAGCAAAAGTAGCAACTGCTGCTTCAATACTATGGAAAATAAACACCATGCAATTTCCTCACTACTCTCCATTTATGCAGATTTATCAAAATTCACTTGTTACATTTAAGGCTATTACACAAAGCATAATAGAGGTTTTCTAAAATGGACAAATCACAGTCCCCACGCTCAAGGCATTCAATCTATTAAGAGACAAATTCATTCTGAAAGATTTTTAACATAAGTACGTGGGAATTTCCAAAACTCTAGCGGTAAACCACAATGAGTGTATAGACGAGACTGGGTCCAGCCTGTAAGGAATTTAAGTAAACCCTTGAAGTTTGAGGTCTGACTCTCAGGGAGAACATCAAAGAAATGTGAATAGCAATATGAAAAGAGAGTAAAAGCGTGCTGGTTCTTCAGGAACTTTCAACACACCCAGGCATTAAGAGTACAGGTCATCAGAGAGAGGCTAAGCATAGGCTGAGTCTGACACAGGAGTCTGTATCGTGTAGCATTACTGTGTAGAGCATCTGAAAGGCCAGAAAGGCAGAGCTAGAAGTGCATGCAGTAGAGAACCCCCAAGGATGAATGAACAGGAAAATATACAATCACATGTGTACTTCAGCTGATTATATTCAGAGAAGGATCTACTGCGTGAAAGGCTTTGTAAACAAAAGTAAAGACCTTCAAAGTAAATGAGGAAATTCAGTTAGTAATATCCCATTCTCTAATCTCTCAGAACCTAAAAAGACACTTTACAAATAACAGCTGCTCATAAAGACATGCTTATTGGTTTAAACAGAATAACTCTGTCCCCCAAAATACCTTTTCTGAATAGCATTTAAGTTTTTCCTAGTACTCAATAGGTATTTTTAAAAGGTACTATTAAAAATGAAAAGAAAAACAATAGTAACCTCCAAGGTGAAAACGTACACAAAATATTGGGAGAACTTGTCTCTGATAACTCTATAAGATGTGAAAAAAAATCTGGAAAAGAAAATGCATAGTATACGGGATCCATAAGCACTCAAAAAGTGCTACTTAGTAGAAAATACGAGGTAATGAATGGTGTTCGAAAGATTAACCAAATCTAAAATGAGAACCACTTGAATCAATCATATTACTCATGACTTCACCAAAAACCTGGCAATATAAAATGCTATAACTGAAAAATCAATAAAAAATTTTTATCAATTACTAAATATGTCTTCTTCCATTATAACAAGAAACAAATACCTCCAATCCATTTTCTCCACCAAGAAGGCACATATGAGGAAACCAGTACGATTGAAACCATGGGTACAATGAACACCTAAAAAATAAAACAATTTTGATTTAATAAATCACTTCAGAGCCTACATTTTACTTTAAAAACCCAACCTGCAATCAAAACATTTCAATCATTTTATAAAATAACTACATTTTTAAAGCTTGGCCTTCTTTTATAACTATTAAACCTGTCAGCTTAAATTGCTTAGAAAATAACTTATAGCACTAGCTATAAGTTTAAATATAACATATACTGATTTATTAGTTACAACTGTTTCTAAGGTCTAAAGTTTTATCTTAAAACTAAAAGATTCCAAGCATTTTAAATAAGGAGGTATTTCATCAAACACACAACTCTAAAGAACACAGGCGCACGCACACGCACGCACGCACACATGCACGCGAGACACGTCACTAGATATGGAAAATAACAAACTGATGGATACACAGTACAATAAAAATAAAGTTCTCTAGAAACCAACTGACTGTATCTTTACATTAGCTTGTAATCTTCCAAAATGAACTTTTAGAAGAAAAACCTGCTGAGAAAAAGACATTTATTTTTGTTAAGCTTTTTTTCAGGACATATTCAAGATCAGTGTGGTCCTGCCTCTATATTCTGAAAAGCTGCAAATGAGTTTCATAAATTCTAAAACTGACTGCATTTTCAAGTCATTTTAACTACTTTGAAAAGTAATAAAAACAGCTTGGTATACATTATTAAATGATCACACTGTAGAGAACCCACTTCAATGGCAGCTCAACGTAGAGAAAGAAAGCAAGAAAACTAGTAAGGAAGCCATCCCAGTAATTTATGGAAGAAACATTTAAGGTAGAATGTGCAATCTGAGGGGTGAATAACTGTCAACACTGAGAGTTTGGTTTCTGACTTAGGTGACTATTTGGGCAATGGCCCCCCTTACCAGGTAAGGAAGTGCAGGAGTTTACATCAGTCTTTCGGGCAAGGCAATGAGTACAGCTGGACATGCTGAGTTTAAGGTTCTTATGAGACTTACAAATATTTGGAAATAAGGGTAAAGAGCTTCACAGAGAGATCTAGCTGGAGTTGTGGATACAAGAATAATCAGCATATAGTCACTACAGAAGCAGTCTGTGGTGTGGGCAAAATCACTGAGAATGGGTAAGCATCAACAGAACAAGAGAAGATAATTAAGGATGGAATCTGAGGAAAACTAACCTTTCAAGAATAAGTTGGCAGATGGAAGGGCATAAAAAACGACTAAGAATGAACAATCATGGGGTCAAGAAAACAAAGAGAGCATGAACATTGTGTCATGTTCACCAGGAAAAGAGGAAGTTCCAAGACAGGAGTGTTCAACTGTTTAAATGTCACAAAATGATTAGAACTGAAAGTCACTATTTGTTTAAGACTGCAGAGGGAGGACTCCAGATCGCAGTGATGTGAATGAAAGTAAATGGATTCAAGTATCAATATTTCGGAAAGTTGACTGGGAAGGAGAAGGGGAATATAAAACAGAAAGGTGTGGGGGTTTTTTGGAAGGAGGGGTAATATTTTAATATAAGAGGCTTGGGTATATTTACAGGCTGAAAAGGACCTGGTTAAATCACAGAGACTGAAATAGAGAACAATGATATAACTGAAATGAAGTTTCTGAAAAGAGATAAAAAATAAAGAGATCAGACTTGAACAGAAAAAGTTACCCCTTAGAAATAATTGCTATAATCATGAAACTCTATAAGTTCATCATCTCCAGTGCTTTGTTAAGAAAACGTGCCTCAAAAGTTACACAAAGATGTCAGCTGTAAATAGACTTTTTTATTCAACATAAATCTTAACCCAACATGTAAATTTCCTTTCTATTTTATATTTGAGACCAATTTAAGCAACAAATACTCTAAAAATGTTTCTCATCTACACCACTACTATTTTTGCATCTAATTTTTACTCTAGCAAGATTAACTAAATATTTTTATGAATAGGAAATGTAAGAATAATTGCCAATTAAGTGATTAAGTCATGCGATGATATGCAATTTAAGAAAGTACCAGTGCTCATTATTCAACATAGTTTTGGAAGTTTTAGCCACAACAATCAGAGAAGTAAAAGAAATAAAAGGAATCCAAATTGGAAAAGAAGAAGTAAAGCTCTCACTGTTTGCAGATGACATGATACTGTAATACACAGAGAAACCTAAAGATGCTACCAAAAAACTACTAGAGCTAATCAATGAATTTGGTAAAGTAGAAGGATACAAAATTAATGCACAGAAATCACTTGCATTCCTATACACTAACAATGAAAAATCTGAAAGAGAAATTAAGGAAACACTCCCATTAACCACTGCAATAAAAAGAATAAAATACCTCGGAATAAACCTACCTAAGGAGACAAAAGACCTGTATGCAGAAAACTAAGACTGATGAAAGGAATTAAAGAGGATACAAAGAAATGGAGAGAGATACCATGTTTTTGGATTGGAAGAATCAACACTGTGAAAATGACTATACAACCCAAAGCAATCTACAGATTCAATGCAATCCCTCTCAAACTACCAATGGCATTTTTCACAGAACTAGAACAAAAAATTTCACAATTTGTATGGAAACACAAAAGACCCTGAATAGCCAAAGCAATCTTGAGAAAGTAAAACAGAGCTGGAGGAATCAGGCTGCCTGACTTCAGACTATACTACAAAGCTACAGTAATCAAGACAGTATGGTACTGGCACAAAAACAGAAATATAGATCAACGGATCAGGATAGAAAACCCAAGGATAAACCCATGCCCATATGGTCACCTGAGCTTTGATAAAGGAGGGAAGAATATACAATGGGCCACAACTACTGAGCCCGCAAGCCACAACTACTGAAGCCCACACATCTAAAGCCCATGTTCCACAACAAGAGAAGCCACCGCAATGAGAAGCCCACGCACCACAACGAAGAGTTGCCCCTGCTCTCCGCAATTAGAGAAAGCCCATGCACAGCAACAAAGACCCAATGCAGCCAAAAATAAATCAACTAATTTAAAAAAAGAACTTATTATGTGCCAAGTTATTATAAACATTTTTATTTAATCAAGAGAAATGTTTTTTACCAAAATACACGTGTGCTACTCATGAAAATATATGTTCACAAATCTGGCCCATGTATTTATAATTAGAAACACCTAAAGTAATTAGAGGCATTAGTTAAGCTACACATCTATTATATGTAGTCCACCATTTACCAAGAAATCAGCCATTTCTCTTTTAACACTAAACAGACTTTTTTATTTCTCCAGTCCACAAAATTCTTATCCTCAAGCTATTTCTGTACATGCAAACAAATGCACTATAGCTCCATAATCTCTTATTTGTAATTATAATTTCAAAAAAGCTCTAAAAAAGACTGATAGGGTACTATCAAAAGGATACAGAGGGCTTCCCTGGTGGCACAGTGGTTGAGAGTCCGCCTGCCGATGCAGGGGACACGGGTTCGCGCCCCGGCCCGGGAAGATCCCACATGCCGCAGAGCGCCTGGGCCTGTGAGCCATGGCCGCTGAGCCTGAGCTCCGGAGCCTGTGCTCCGCAACGGGAGAGGCCACAACAGTGAGGCCCGCGTACCCGCAAAAAAAAAAAAAAGGATACAGAAATCAACTTGAAGGGGCTCCCATTAGCCTAGGATGGAGCAATGTGGGCATAAGAATAAATATTGACTGCAACTGATTTAAATACATCAACTATATAAAACTTCATGAGTTCATACAGATACTCCAAGAAAAGAAAGTAATCAGTCACCACTGGAGATTGGTAAGATACCAATTCATTATTCTGGAAATTAAGAAATAAGAGAATCAGGGGCTTCCCTGGTGGCGCAGTGGTTGAGAGTCCGCCTGCCGATGCAGGGGACGCGGGTTCGTGCCCCGGTCCGGGAGGATCCCACATGCCGCGGAACGGCTGGGCCCGTGAGCCATAGCCGCTGAGCCCGTGCGTCCGGAGCCTGTGCTCCGCGACGGGAGAGGCCACAACAGTGAGAGGCCCGCGGACCGC